ATGGTTGGACTGGAAAGCACTGTGAACTAGAAGAACCCGAGGTCACCACGACAGAGAGGACGTCGGACTGTTCAACGAGTTCCGATACGGTCAGTGAACTGCCAGACGAAAAAACCATGCACAGAAACCCGACAAACACGTCGGACAGAAATCCACAACCGACTCGGCACTTTGTCGTACTGTTCACAGTCATGGGTGTGGCTATTCCTCTGACCGTAATCACTTTAATCGCCGGTATCATATTACTCATCACCAACTGCCGATCCTATCGAAACGACCAACGTTTGCGCTGGCCCCAGAACAAACGTCCGCAATCAGGTTTGCATCGGCCGGCCGAGAACTGCAACACAAAACGTTATTTAGCTGATACAGACTGTGAGCGCAGCCTGGTTCCATCAACCAATATCAAAAACAAAAAGCTATTTTATACAGGCTTGTTAAATTCACCAAAATCAGATCATGCAACATCGCAAACTGGCTTAGATCCATGGCATGAAACACTACGGAACAAAAAACCAACCACATTCGTGAGTCGGGAACATCCATTTGGTTACCGTCGGTCTGAAAAGAATAAAACTGAATGGAATGATGAAGGGGAACCAAAAAACGGTGCAACCGCCCTATTCAAATTAATAGACAATCCTACTGGCACGGAATCTCCACGATGTCAATATAGCTGCATTCATGCGACACACGCAATGCATTCAACTGTAATCTGCCAGATGCCTTATATCGATCAATCTGTGATCAATACGCTCACTTTGCTTTCATCCCCGCGAACATCATCACCACCCCCGCCCTATGAACAGGGGGAACAATTTGTAGAGGCTCCGTACAACCACTGCTATTCGAATTCGTGAATGAAGGGTATATTTATGCACATGCAAGCATAGTTCATGTATCTGACTGAATACGCTTGCATGTACAAAAGTCTGTCTTACCGAAGCATTTAAAATTTCCCTAATAATCACCACATCAAGACTATACTTAAGTACTTCAAAAATCGACCGCCGGTCCTCTCCTCTCTTTTTCTCGATCGCAAATTACTTGTGTCCAAACGGGAACGAATTAGTCGAGAACCTTTCCAGAATCTGCCCGAGAAAAAATAAACATCAACAGCATGATACTTCATACAAATAACATGTGTGTGTAGACACCACGCTATTGTGTTTCCGTTCCTCCCATATTGCCCGCTCGTCCGAACTATTGCGCTCATTCGCTGAACTCCATTCTGTTTTGTTTTTCTGCACAATTGTCATCATCGACCTGCGCCCTGCACTGCTTCGGCAGAGACCAATAAAAATGAGGCTTGTAAGGCTTATGAAGTCACAGTACTTATCTGTCTAGTGTGGATTGCAACTAATTTGCAACATAATTGCAATTGCACGCCAATCCTAGCTACTTGTATCACTAGATTGAGAAAAGGCTGAAACAACTACTCATAAGTAGTGAATTAAGAGATAGACAACTTGCACGGATGGTCGATGCTCTGTGGACGATTATATAAATGTTTCATGCACAAGCTCCTCAGCCAGTTAGACGGTGTGAGTCAAAACCTTACAGTACCACAGAAAAAACGCAAAATGCTGACGGCGTCAAAGATGTATTTGAAAGTACTTACAGATAAGACGGTATCTGTACACAGGATGAAAGTAAGGGTGGTCACAGCAGGAATTCCGTCACCCTTTAGCAAACTCGATCTGTAAACGACGCCCAAGGAAATGTGTGTCTGAGCCCAGCGTTTCTCTTGCAGCCTGAAAGAAAAAAAACATCGTGAAAGAGAAAGTACTGCATTGTGCTGAAAAGACTTGGATAGGCATTTACGCCTCCATGTCAAAACAGCTCACCGATACATGTTTCAGCAGTAGGACAACAAGGCATTGTAAAGCTTTGGTGGTGAAGCATGTTGTTCACTGAATAGTCGTTTGAATTCCAAGAACAGGTGGATCTTTTCAGCTTTGAAACATGCCCATAAATATTTACTGCTGAACAAGTGTCCCTAAAATACTGAGACAACAATTATGAGGTCAGGTTTGGCATGAGCTCTGCAAATCGCATCCAACACAGCACCATGGCATTTCACCTAACAGATTCCGTTAAGGCCAATTCTGCTATCTGCCAAGACTGACTACAGATGATCAGGTGTGAACATGAGACCCAGAGGTTCCGTGATCCACTCGGTCATAGGCTACCGGGTTTAGTGTTGCAGAAAAAGAGGAGCACTAATCGAATACGAACGACAAAGCGAGAAAAAAATGAACACTTTGCATTACCTGTGCCTGATCAATCGTGTTGAATTCAACAAACCCGAAACCTCGATGTCCACCAGCTGCTTTTTGAGGCAGTCGAACATGTAACAGTCCGCCCACCGGACGAAACAGTTCTGTCAATTCGTCTTGGGTGGCCTGGAATGGGATATTACGAACAATTAAAACCGGTTTGTTTGGTTTTCGCTCCTCCACTTTTAGTTTATTCGGAGCCAGCTCTGTGGTGACCGTGTCAGATCGGTCACACGCGGATTCCGACTCGACAGCAGTTTCAGCTGCATCGATTTTGGATACTTGCCGTCGTAGACGGGCTTTCTTGTTCTCGTAATTTCGTACTTTGAGTTTGTCTCCTTTACTCTTTATTGACGATGTGGTAGATTCCAGTAGTTCTCCTGCATCATTTTGCTCGTCTTGATCAGCCTCGTCCTCTACGTCTGCTTCTGACAACTTTCGACGTCTGTTCACGAGCGTCTGGGTTGCCATATCTTCGGTCGAAAGAGAAGTGATTAACTCGAACTGGGCCTCCGCGCTGGTCGATTGCGTGCACAAGCAGAAGACAGATGGAAAAATTTGACTGCTAGCATATTACCAGTATCAGTTTACACGTAGATTTGATAGACCGTGAACAGTTAAATAGTTAAATAAAGCGAATAGCTATGAACGGTCGGTTTGTGAGCATATATGACAGATTCCCATCCCACAATCTCCAGGATTAATAGAAAATGCCTTTCAACCATCATGGTCCTAATTGATTTGATTGACTATCCTTCGGACTTCACCTTCACGCACAATTCTCAGCTCGTCGATTCGAACACACTCGCAAGCACTAAAGTCGAGTTTCGCTGTTACTACAGCGCATCAGTAGTGTATATCCACCATCCCGTCCGGGATTTGAACGATGGACCCATCGCATGGAAGGTGTGTGCGTTACCACTTTGCCAACCAGCTCACACCACGGCTGAACCAAATTGCCAATTTACGATTGTTCAGGTATTGTCTTCAGTGACAGTCACTCAGTTCAATTGGCCCGACAGCAAAGAAGGGAGACAGATGACAATCCATGCGATGGATCCGGAGTTCTAATCCCGGATGGGGCGGTGAATATGCTCTACCTATGAGCTCTAATAAGAGCGAAAGTCGAGTCTACTGCTTCCGAGTGTATGGTTGAATCGATGAACTGAGGATTGTGCGTGAAGGATAGTCAGTTCAAATTAATCAATACCAATTATCCCACAACACTACTCACAAGTAACTGTGAGTAAAATGCGAATAATCATGGTTCCAGTGATTTCAGTAATCTGTATCACCTGAGAAAAACAAATGTTTTCTAAGCTAGAAGACTGCGCACTGATGAACATCGATGGGTTTTGATACCAATCCCTAAAAGATTTTTAGCGGAAAATATAACGTATTTCCATAAATGTAAGATTACCACCGTGGTATAACTGAGGTCACTATAAGTATCACGCCATCGCAAACAGGCATATTTCAAAAGTTCATCAAAGGAAGAAACTAAGACTGAACTGCAATAGATCTCTTACTGTCTCTAATAGGGAGCAGCCAGTTGATGTGAATGTGAACGCCGGTCTCGGAACAAATGTAATTGAAAATGTCACTGGCAAACGATTTCATGCTTTAGTACAGTAGCACCGAATACAAGGTATTCATCTTGCAGTCGGTAAAATCGGTCTTGCGTGGTTTATGGAAACTTTCTTTGGGCGATGGGTACTACTGTCTCCACTCAATACAAATCCATGACTACATCATCTTCTATCACGATTATCTGATACTTGCTATTCAATTCCAAAGAAACAGAACCGGTACACAGAAAACTATCTTTCCATCCACAACGCAGATCACATTACACACGTATGCAAGTTTCACACAGAAAAGTGGTTTGTTCAAATAGTTGTTTGGCAGATTTGAAGTTTGTATATCGATTGTGAAAAGTTCAATAGCCTCAGTGGGATTCGAACCCACGCAT